TGCTTGAACCCTTCAGCTGACTTACAAATATGGCTAGATCCATAGATTCTGCAGTAGCTGATCACTGTTATAAGGACCTGTTTCACATCTTCAATAAAAACAACTTACCTATCTGAGCCTCATCTTTGAATCTTCTGCTTTCCTAGAGACAAATCTATTGTTGTGCCCAGACAGTACTAACTATTATGATGGACTGAGGGCAAGCAACATTGTGCCCTGAAAATGTTGGGATTTCAACACCCATTAGCTCCAGGGTGCAAGATAGTGCAAAGCATCTGGAAGATACTAGGTTGACCTCCTCATTTCAACTTTGAGACAACGTTTGGGCAGTGAATTTCCATTTATGTTTTTTCAGATACTTAGATGAGCAATAGTATAATCTTAGTGGTTCCAGAAGTTGTGAAGCAATAGTGTGCCACATTTCCATTTTATTTTTTCAGGTATTCTATCTAGCAGAATCTTAAGGACTACAATATCACAATTCAGAAGGAATATTTACCTCCATTATGTCTACAAATTGTTTATGCAGTGGCATGCTTCTATATGGTGACAGACTTATTATCCATCAGTGGTCATATATGTCAGGTCTCAAATCTATTCCAAGTTGGATGGTGCACAAGATGTAGTTTAGTCTTTATGCCATTTTAATGCTTTGAAATGTATAGTGATTTTATGAATATGAGTAAAATGTCTTCCATTTTTTAAATTATTATAAAATATTTTGAATACAGTGCTGGTTTTCAGACAACCAGTTAAGTTTCTGAGGTTGGCTTTAAGTCCTCAAATCTGCTTTCTGCAACCTAGTGCCTTTGTAATATGTTGTGTGAGAATTCCCCATCATATTGGACCATATCTAGAGGGCATCAGCTGATTGCTGGGAGACATGAAGCATGTACAGTCAAAGATAGGGTGTTTAGACTTTGAGATAAATTTGTAAAGAAAACAGCATGCTTCCCTCCCTCCTTTTGGATGGCGAGAAAAAGCATATTTTCTTTAGGTATGTATAAATAAGAGAAGGAAAAAAAGGCTTCAGAAAATTTCTTGCTTCTTTATGTTCTGTTTTTCTAGTTGTTTGTTCTTTGTTGGGTGATTGTTTGTATTTTTATTATAGTACTTTTTATTACTTGTACAGAGCGCTTTTGGTTTAACTTATCAATATAGCAGAGAACCAGTTTGATGTAGTGGTTAATGATGTAATGGTTAAAGGCACTGAGCTAGATATCTCTCCCTTAGGCACAAAGCCAACTGGGTGACTTTGGGCCAGTCACTTTTTCTTACCCCTAGGACAAGGACAGTGGTAAACAATTTCTGAAAATTTTACTAAGAAAACTGCAAAAACTTGTGCAGGCAATCACCAAGAGTCAAGACTGACTCGAAGGCACGCACACACATACACACACACACATTCATGCACACACACACAAAATCTGTATAATCAGCAAAAAAGTCTACAATGGACTAGGGGATCCATGATAGCTCTGTTGGTTTGTTGTTCTGTCAGCTACACCCTTGGCAAATAGTACTCCCATTATTTTTTTCATGTAACCAACATTTGGTAATTCAGATAAGAGTAATCATGAGATAAATGACCAGGTTGCTATCCTGTTGTGACCAACTGCCTACTTTTTGAAAATAGCTGTCATCAATTCATGTTCATTTCTTGTAATATGAAAACTTCTGTATGTGGTAGAATAATCCAGAGAACTAATATTTTTAGTTTTCTTCAGTTATAGAATTGTGTTAATCAGTGGAATGTACATGGTATCTATTAATAAGCAATTACATGAAAGGGTGCTGAAAAACTTTTCAGTTGAAAATTACTACAGAACTGGAAACAAGGGTTCACTCATGTTTTCCTGAGTAGCTTGAATAGCTAGTATTTCTGCTGGTGTCTGAAGTATTTTACCAAACACAATATGGAACAAAGTTCTAATACAATTCTGAGTCTTCCTGCTGCATTTGGATGTGTGGCTGGATCTTGCTCTCTAGCTCATCCTTAACAACTGACAAAATATTTACACTGCTCAGTACAGAAAAGGGTAACTTTTTCCAAAATATTATAAAAGATTGGAGTTAGAAAATAGACAATGAAGGTGTTTTTTTTTAAGAGCTGGGATTTATGCATCAATAATTTTATTGAATCATTTTCCAGAGAAAGAGAACCATGAGAACAGAGCATCAGTAAATCAGTCTGCACCATATTGTACTTGCATAAAAAGACATGAAGGGTGAAAAGGATGCCACTATGAGGTAACAAAGAGAGCCAAATCTCAATTGGTATGAACTTTATATAAACCATAAAATATGAACACATGCCTGCATATGCAACTGAAAAAAAAGAAAAGAAAAGGTATTTACTACTTCGTTTAAAATTTTGTAATATAGCTTTGGTAATAAGTTGGAGATATGAGCAATAGAAGAGGTTATATAAATGGGACAAAATCCATTCTGTCCCCTTGAAGACAATACAGCTTGTTAGGATATATTGCCAGCTGTTGGGAGAGAGGTAAATACTTCCATCCTAATTCCAAAAGTGAGGTATATTATTGGATTTTTCCCATAGTTCTTAGATGGGAAGATAATACATTCATACTGAAAAAAGTCTACATTAACCTCATGTAATTTGTTTATCACACAAGTGGCTATGAAACTGAGCTATTTGTTATGAAATTCTTGGTTCATCTTTTTTGTTTCTATACTTTCACACAAATGGGCTCTGTGTACATAGTGTAACCTTTCATAATCCACTGCATGTCTCCTGCCATCTCCTTGGTTTTTCAGGTGCTATAACAGTAGATAAATTCTCACTCAGTAATTATATTTCTTCACCTTTTGTAAATTTTCTAGGTCTCAGGCTACATCTTCAGGGAACACATGCACACTTATAGCCACAGTGCTCTTGATCTATGATCCTGAAGTCATCCTTCAGAAAGTATATGTGCTGTGGCACCAAATTAGTCCCCTTTGATGGATGCTGCTTGTGTCTTTTGGGCCTGGCAAAGGACACACAGTAGGTGCATAACTTCAGTATTAACTGCAGTGGTTGGCAACACAAAATGACTACCAGATATAGGATTAAAGAGAGGGGAGCATCTCTTCTGAATTAGGTGTTATTAATTTCCTAAAACTTTGCAGGAATTTTAATTCAGCAAAATTTCTGCCTCAGGTTGTTCAGTATACCTAGTATATACCCACCTACTGCATCAAGCATTGTGCTCCCTGAGTCCTGCAGGAAAAGGGCAGGTAGCATCTGGCAGAACTTCTTGATTAATCCCCTAAGCTCCAAGAACACTGCTGAGTCCTGTCTCAGCTTGATCCAAAAGCTGTACCTTAGCTGGTTCTTCAAAGCCCTGTTCTATTGATTGTTCTCCCTCCTCTTCATCTGAAAATTCATCAGCATTAGGCATGACAATCTCTAGCTTTGATCCAACCAGTACATCAATCTCCCAACAATATTAGACCTCCCATTGGTGCTGATCAGGTTTCCTCCCCCAGCATCCAGCAACAAGCTCTTATTTTCAGTATTATTTCATTGTCAATTCCATTCTTGTCTTCTCCAAATATTCTCATAGGATGGGTGGAAACTATAGCTTCCTCATTTCTCAGTGCGGTCAGGATCACAATCCCTGGATCAGCTACCACTCAAAGGAACCCAGGCCTGCTTCTTTTAAGACACAGCTTAGTTCCTTCCCACAGGAAATTTGCAGGATACCTAATTAGTCCATACATCATTTTTTACAGTTGTCAAATTCCCCATAAAATGTTGCTGAGGTATAATGTGGCAATAATTGGGTCTTCATCATTGTACAGAATTAAGATGTCCTCAAGATTTTGTAAGATATAATCCCCTGCCCACTTTGTTATTATCCCTCTTTACAGACTCACTAGAACTCACTAGATTATTAGTCATGTGATAGTACTATGGCTTCTAGCCCTGATATTTCATAATTCCGAAAGATGACAAAGGCCTCTATTCCATTTATGACCTTTACAATGTCAGCTATTACACTGATATTCATCAGATCCACTTAGTGACTCTCCAGTCCATCATTCCTCTGCAGGAAACTGGATAACCTCAGTCCATCGGCTAAGATCATTTTCAATTTTAGACGCCATTTTGAGTAGTCTACTACATCTGGGGTACACCGCCCCAGTAGGGAAGTGCACAGCCCTAGTAGTGGCATATCTCCACCACCAAGGAACACAGGCGTTACTCTAAATTGACAAATTATTTCTTGTTCCCCCAGAAGAAGCTCAGCTGACATGTGATCTCATTCAGGCTCTGCTATACTCTCTGCCTTTGTGTTCACAAACAATAGTCATGTCTTATTCCTACTCACACTGGAGCTGTTCATGTCCTTGTCCATGATCGCTATGTTTATTCAAGAGCCTTTTGTGAATAATCCATTTCTGGAAATTCAAATATATAATGTCCAAGTAAATAATCATTCCATAAAGGTACCTTAAATGATCAGGAGCAATGATCAAATATGTATACGTTGGATATGTTTCATACGCTAGCAAAATAATACTTAGAATCATCCAAAGCAGATTAGAGCCCTACATGGAAAGGGAAGTGGTAGATGTTCATGCTGGTTTTAAAAAAAGCTGAGGAACAACATACATTATTGCTGATGCATGCTGGATAATTAAGAAAGCCAAATAATACAAAAAAGAAGTCAATATATGCTTCATTGACTATAGAAAGTTATTCACTTGTGTCAACCATGACAAGCTGTGAAATGTGCTTAGAAAAATGGTATCCCAGGACATCCCAGTGTCCTTGTGCAAAACCTATACATTGGACAGGAAGCCACAGTCTAGACAAAACATGGCAAAACAGCCTGGCTCCACATTAGGAAAGGAATAACACAAGGCTATACTAAGACAAGGTATACTCTATCCTTATTTGTTCAAAATATATATATATATATATATATATGGTGAATACATATTGAGGGAAGCTGGATTGCAAAAAAGATGAACATGGTTTTAAAATTGAAGGAAGAAACATCAATAACCTTTGCTATGGTGATCATACTACTCTGACAGCTGAAATGCAAATCATCTGCAAGCTCTTGTAATGAAAGACAAGGAGCACGGTGAAAAAAAATGGGACTACAATTAAATATAAAGACTGAACTAATGATAATAAGTACAGCAACTAGCCTTAGAATTGACAACATATTGAAGTGATGGATACTATTGCCTTTTAGGATCAACATAAAAGAACCAACGGTCAAGAATTAAACTGTAGACTAGCACTCAGAGTAGTCATGAAGGCTTTGGAAAACATAATTAGATGGCATGATGTGTCTGTACTTACAAAGATCAGAATTGTGTAGGTGATAGTGTTCCCTTTGACACTGCATAGAAGTGAAAGTTGACTTTGCAGAAGCAGGGTAGAAAGAATACTGATGCTTTTGAACTTTGATGTTGGAGAAGACTCCTGAGAATACCATGGATAGTCAAGAAAACAACAATGGATAATAGAATAAATCCATAGTTCTCACTTAAGGCTCAAATGACCTGGCTCAAATTATCATATTTTGACACATTATATGAAGACCCAGCTCTCTTGAGAGGTCCATAATGGTGGGAAAAGTGGAAGGAGAGAGAAAAGGACAACTAGCAGCAAGGGGATGGACTCAGTTATGGTGGTGATTGGTCCATAATGGGGACAAATCTTCCCAAAGAAGGTGTAGGTAGTCACAAAGAGTCAACCAGACTTGATGGCTCATAATCAATAAAAAATGTTAGATATGTTAGATTATTAAAATAGCATTGTTACATGTAACAAAACAAGTCAGATTTTTATCAGCCATTTTGCATTCACTGATTATGACTATAAAATATCTTTCTTTTACACACTACATTTCTGTGTATCTTAGGATTGTTTTAGTGCAAAATATTAAAGAGCCAGTTTGGTCTAGTGGTTAAGGCACTAGGCTAGAAAGCAAGAGACTGAGAGTTCTAGTCCTGCCTTAGGCATGAAAGCTGGCTGGGTAACTTTGGCTCAGTCACTCTCTCAGCCCAGCTCACCTCACAGGGTGGTTGCTGTAGGGAAAATAGGATGAGGAAGGAGTATTAGGTATGTTTACCACCTTGAGTTATTTATAAAAGTAATAAAGGCAGGGAATTTTTTTTTTTAAATACTAAAGATATCTCTAAATATGATAAGCCAATATTGTTATATCTGGCAATTTTATTAGGTTTTCCCATTCCCAGAAAAGTTCAGAAATAACAATTAGTTATTCAAGGCATGTGACTTACAGCCAAATTACATTATTTTGGGGGTTTGATTTTTTAACAATTTTCTGGCAAAATGTAGTCATGGTTATCACTGCATTTGAATGCACTGAAGTCATGTAATATTGTTGTTCTTGCTTCAGCTAAAAAAATAAAGTATCTTCCTTGCTGTCATGCTAAGGAATAAAATAAATGTCAGATGAGGTTTGTACAGCGGTTTAGAAAGTTTTTTAAAAAATAAAATGCTAATGAGAGTGATATAATTTTGTGGCTTTGAATGATTGTTGGCTACAAAGCAATACATTGCAGCTCTAGCAGCAGGCTGCAAAAAGGCAGCAGCTTTTACATTTTGTACTAAAGATCTAGGTTAGAGTTTTAATAAAGGCCTCCGTGATCATACATGATAGGTATATATGAATATCACATGTATAACACAAGGAAGGTGACATATATAACAGATTTCTCTAAAAAAATTAGATATGCAAAGTAGATAGCATTATATCTTTTTAATGAACCAGTGTTTGCACTTTTGGTGTAGCAGACAAGGAAATATGAAGTAAATTTTTCAAGAAAGACATAAGAAAAACCTTCTTCAAGTCAAACTTGATTCCTGATGTCTTCACTGACACTTTTTTACTGGTAACAAACTGAATTGATTTGGGATTTTTTCCCACTTACCAATTTAGCCTACAGTTCTGGTATTTCCTGGTAACATCCCATCCAAGTACTAGTCAAATCTACTTGGCTTTTATGATCGGCCAAGGTCAGATAACCCTGATATACTGTATGTAATTTGCAGCTGTTTCGGTGCTGGGTACTCTTACCCAGCACCCAAACAGCTGCAAATTACATATATTCAGGCAACGGCAGAATCACTAGATGTTTGAATGAAGGGGTCTGTCATTTTTGTAAGCATATGGCCAAGGCACAGATAACCCAGGTTTTGTTCAT